GCCCCCCCCCCTCCACCCCGCCCGGATATAAGCTCCTCCCCCTTTACGAAGTTGTATAAGCCCAGGGCCTATGAGCAAGCGACAGTTTACAGTTACTTTTGTGAACCATTTCGCTTTTGGTTTTGTTTGAACCTGTTCTTCTCCCGGCTTGTGAAATTAAACTGCTCTGACATTAACCACACATACCTGCCCATAGTCAATTTCCAGTGGATAAAATTTATTTGGGTGCTTGACAAAGTTCTTTCTGTCCAGCCAGCTATTTCCTGTATATGCAATATTACCAATTATAAAATAAACAAATCCATACTAACAAGTTACGGTTTCACTGTACTGCACAACACAACCACCAGGGAATAAATGTATCTTACAGTTTAGTAGAAATTTTACTGTGTAGTATTGTCCCGGGGGGGTGGGGAACTCTCATATGAAAAGGTCGGGGATGCTCATCATTTCGCTTAGTAGTTTAGACGAAATGCCACTATTTTACACTGTGAAGGTTTCTTTTAGGGTGTACTCGAAGAAAAACATTAAAAAAACCCACCCCCATTTCTGCTTTTAGGCTCAATTTCCACCTCTCTAGAGTCCAGTCTACTAGCACACACTAGTGCAGGCTCCTTTCCCAAGCAGTGGCTGGCAATCAAGCCTATTTCATTTTAAGTGGTATCTTTTAAGAATCAAATAAAGTTCGAGCCCCACCTAGATTGGTCTCCTTTAGGGTTTTGATTCAAATTTTCCGACGAGCGTCTCCAACCTTTTCATATGGGAGTTCCCCCCAGGAGTACTGTTGTTGATTATTCAATGAGTTCTTTCGGAGCTAAATTCCAAATTTGCCACCTTTTGAATCTTTTGCATAAAATTAATGTAAGAGCTACAAAATCTAAATGACTTCATGAGCCAGTCTCCTGGTGCACTAACATCCTGACAACTAAAACTTACTTTGCGCATAATGGATAATAGTTATGCCTAATTGTATCTTTATGTTATGCTTCGGCGGCATATCAGACGAGTTTGGTTGAGCGATGGTTTGTATTTTGGCGAGAAGTAGTCCACCCATGGTGAGACCAAAGGAGCTTGATATACCATCAAAGTGTACCAAAAAGGTACGATTAGGTATTTACCGTACACATGTTCGGCCAAGTGAGCATGACGTCACTGCCATATCGGGTCAGTGACTTGATATTGCAGGATATTAGGACAGTAGACATAGCTTCTGATTGGCTAACTGTGAATTTCAGTACGGTAAGGTCAGTTACTGTACCTGTTTTGTCGGCATAAAGTTCCATGAACTTTTCAATGGCTGACCTTGAGGATCCACAACGCTGTAAAATTCAAAACATTTCTCCTGATTGCTTGACAATAAAAAAGTATTTCCACTGACATTTTTACAGACATTAGAGAAAGGATGTCAGTTAAAGTTATCATTTGCGTCTTAGGTACATCTGATGTCACATACAACACAGCAGAGCATTTGGAGAGCAAAAGAACAAGCAACGTAATTATCTTGCGCAAGCTTAGATGGAACATTACATGGCTTCTTTTACAACAACAGCAACACTTTATTAAGGTATTTCCATAAACACATGACATCACCTATTTAAACTAATGAAAATATAATAACATCTAAAATATCATCCAAAACAAGACTTATGGAAATTCATGTCTAAACGAAAATTCATGTCTAAGGGACATTCCCTGGAAAATACAAGCAGCAAAATGTACAGATGAGTGTTTGAGTCCTATGCCTCAAAGTCTTCTCTGCTCAGACTAAAATACCTACCTCCAGTTTGTTTCCTCCAATGGTTGTCCCAACTCTTCCCCACGATCGGAATAGATGATAACTAAAGATTTCAAATACATGTATGAGAGAAATGAACAGCCGTTGTATGCTCAAAACGAAAATCACCAACTTCCCACTGGCCATTAATTGTGACATTATATCATGCTGCTGTAAGCACAAAGACAGTGGTGTATGTCTCCTGTCAAATTGTTGAATTTCAAACAATCAAGACTTGTAGTTAGCAAAAGTGTGAAAAGGTATACTCACGAATTGCCACGGTCAGCTTTTAAAATCTGTAGTTTGTAATAAGAGTTGGTGCCTCTAACAATGTCAACTAAGCCCAAAGTAGCACTGTAAACTGTTCCTTTTTCTTCAAGCACGTGGCATGTGTCTTCCATCTCTGAAACAAAGAAAGTACTATGCTAGTTAATAAATACATCCACATTTACCACAGTTGATTGATTGACTGATTAATTTTCACAACTTGTGTGTACTTGCTCATTATATTTTTTTTACTTGTGTGGAGGGTTGTAAGCAAAAATGACATAATGCTGTTCCAATCCCAGGTGGCCCCCAGCGCACACTGCTACCCTACGCACTATCTACAAAAGAATAGATAGTGAGTAGTATAGCCAATCAGAGAACAGCATTTGTGATAGAACGCTAGTAGATTTATACTAAAACTCGACAGAAACATGGCACATGTTTTCAATTTCTTAAATGAGCCAGCAGAATAAGATGACAGGGGAGGGCGGGGGGTTTATATGTTGACCACTACCTGACTCTGGATCTACTGCAGCTCCACCTTTCACAGCAACCTTCATTTTCTTTGCCAATCCACTTCCTACAATGTTAATAAAACTACAGTTATTCCTAAAGTTGTATTTCTAGCCAGGGTACATTGATGTAGAAATCAAAATTGTGGAATTGATGTCAAAATATCGACACAGATAAATGAGGTGGTTGGATATAAGTGAATTATACTGATTGATCTGATTAAGACTCTGATCAAGCATTTGTTTGGGACAAAATAAAGTGGCCTTATGAATGAATTTGTGGTCATAAGCTTGTGTTTCACAACACATGTTCTCGCAGTTAACACTGCAAAATTCTATGTTGTACTGATGAAACGGAGATTCAAGAAGGTTGAACAGGAGCACAAATTTTTGCTCATTCCTTTGCAAACATGTTTTTGCTTCTTGCTGTTAAACAGACAATGTTAAACAGCACATAGGTCAATTAATGGTCACATTAAGGTTGTAATTTGCTCACTTTACTCTGTAAAATATTATATAATTTATTACGAGTACCTCCATCTGAAGCACTTTTCTTGACCTTAGCCACAGAAGGAGGGGAGGGACCATCTGTCACACTAGTACCCTACGAATATTCAGTTGTCACAAGCTAAGGGTTATTTGTCTTATTCAAGGCTAGCAACTTTGTTTATCTACTAATACAAATACTACATGGAAAATTTTACTCTACCTGATTAAGGTAAGATAAAGATTTTTCAGTCATGAGTCTGCTACTGATGCAGTAACAGTTTTCATTCCACCAAGGTGAATTCACAAAAAAAAAAACATTTGGTAAAAAGGTTGTTTCACTGCATTCCTATGCAGTATTATGATTGAGTGGAACTGGGAACATCTACCAGACTTACCTATACTAATACTTCTGTACTAAAATGAAACATAAATCTGCATACGAGCCACATGGCCCATCATGCTGGAGCTTATTCTGGTTTCTGCAGCATGAAGGAACTTGGAGTATTTCTACTCCCTCCTGGATGGGATGTGCTAGTCTATTGCAGGGTCACCCCCAGCATTAAATGGCACATAACAACAGCTAAATTATAAACAAATGGTAGACCTTTACATTTCCCCATGATGCAATGCTATGCTGTGAAATCATCAGTTTGGCCCCGACCTTTTTCACAGCCTCCAAGTAATCTTCACTGACAACTGGCACATCAAACTTTTCAGCATCTCTCATTTTCTTGCTTTTCTTGTCTATTTCAGCTACCAAAACACAGATTTCATACATTAACATCTCACATAATTATATACATTTCAAAAGCTTTTCTGGACAAATGAGTGAATAAATGAGAGAGTAAATGGAGGATCTCAAAAGGTAAGTATGCACACTTTCAAAGGCCAAATGGTGGTTAAGAATTTCTTTAAGTTTATCAAACAATTATATAAAAAATTCAACGCAAATATAATCAGCGACATGAGGAGACATTCATGGATAATGGATCTTGGAATTGGGCAAGAACAAGTCCTCACAAGTGGGAAGCAAGAATACAAGGTGGTGAAGCAGATCCAAAGAAATAGCAAAAATGGCATAACCTTGGAGCATTTTTCAATTGAGTGTCATAAAACCAAAACCAGACCAATAACTTACCAATTACACTACTCAGCCAATCTCAAACCTTGGTAAAACCAAAGCTAAAACCAAAGTAATTCTCTGATTATTTTTGACACTGACTTGATTGAAAACTGTCCTATATAATATTCTGCAATAGAAAAACCACAGAGCAAGGAGCCACTAAAGAAGATGCAGGTTGGAATAGGGAGGAAAAAAGTATGAGAAGTCAAGAGTTCAGACCTCTCCTCTTCATCTCCCAAACATTGCAGAACTCAACTCATGTACTAGCACTAGTCAACAAGCATACAAGGATCCTTTGAACCCTAGGAATATTGAAGACAATGCTGAATTACCTTGCGTACTAATACAGCAGTCAATAACTGCATTTATTTTCTCAACTACAGATCCTCCCAGATCTTGTATGGCTCTCGTGATTTTCTCCTAAAAAGAGTAAACATGACTGTATAAGATGTGAAGCATGCTGCATTAATTAACAACAGCAACAACAACTTTATATCATTTCTTAAAATAGACTTAATTTATTTTTAATATGTAGTTTGAGAGATGCATATGAGAAGCCATCTATTGTTATTTTAGATCATGTGTACTAAAGGCATCTGTGATAGAGTGTCGATCAATACCCTCAATTGACACTCGATCGACATCTCAATCATCACTTGATCAGCATCTTGATTGATACTTGGGCAATATTTGATCAACCTTTCTGTCAATAGTCGTCGAGTCTGAGTCAGCTAATTTTTGCAGACATACCATCAAGTGTCAACCGATACATATCAGTTGGTCAACACTCAGCCAATCATTAACAACTTTGCTCTTTGCTATTATTTTGGATAATGGAGGATGTGGAATGTGGCAGAGGAGCATAGAAACAATGTCTCTGGGGATAGCTACATGTACCAACTGTTCTGTATTAAACAGAAACCTTGCCTGTACCTTGCTTTGTTGAAGTCTGCCAATGACTACAAATTTCATGTCAGAAAGTGGCTTGCCAGGTGCAGTGGCAGAAAGTGGAGAAGCCCTACAATGGTAAGAATTTTATATAATGTATCACTTCTACTTGATTGTCCAGATAACTGGTGTCTTGAGAAAAACTGTTGTTCTAGATAAACGGGCCTTTGATCATCTGAAGAGTCAAATGAAATACTGTCTGTTAAATAGTCAATATAACTCTCAAAGTGTTAGTTTGTATTCAGTGGGATCAGCATATAGTTTTCTTTTCATTAGGAACACTGTCAAAAATAATGCAATCACCATGATACATGCATTTATTTATTACACATCAAGATGCCTCCACTCACACAGAAGTAACAGCTTCAGATTTGATTAGTGCTTTAGATGACGTGACAGGCACATCAGGCACTTTTGGGAATATCCTCTCTCTTTTCTTGAACTTGAAATTCTTCCTGTTGAATTGAACTCAATGCTAGATATCAAACTTGAACACTGGTAATGATTTATGTCATTACCCCCTAAGAGTGCAAATTGGCACACAAGATCATACCTTTGTGAATATTTGATACATTTCTATGAATTTTTGCCATGAAAATTGTCTTGTGAAGATCTGCTCATTGAAGTCATAAAAGTTTGACCCCCTCCCATCCAAGACATGGTTGACCACCCCCAGAAGTTTTTAGCTCGTTTTTCAGGATGCAAATGGAATGTAAGACTTGTTTCATATCAAGCTACGCACTAAGAGTTGCTAAATAAGCTATAGTTTAGGGGTATAACTAATATAGTAGAAGATTGATCTATTTTCGAAGTCGTTCATTTTCCCATTTTAAAGCAATTTCTCTCAAAATGTCTACCTCCTTCATAGCTGCTGATGTCAATTCTTAAATAAGCTGATCGGTGGCTTTCAAATTGCATATTGTACACAGGCAGAGTGTCTTTATTTGCCGATTTGGGAAAAACTGCCGTTCAGCTTAGGGGGTAAAGGATTAAACCCTTCAAACTGACAGTATTTACCATTTGGATGTGAATGGTCTAAAAATTTGCAGTCTCCAAAGGCTCTACGTGTCTCGTTAGGAGTTAATAATAATAATAATAATAATAATAATAATAATAACAAAAATAATAATAATAATAACAATTATTATTATTATTATTATCATGTAAGATTCAAGTTTGTATGAAAAAGTGCTCAATAAAGTTTGTTACTACTTATAAATAATAATAATCATCATCATCATCATCATCATCATTATTTAATAATCTTTATAGCAAGACACTTACATGTAACTCTCACAGAGCCTCTCTCCACCCAGGAGTACACATGGGTACCGGCGAATCGTTGGGGAAACCTAACAAATTGTGGGGGAGTGACCTGCGATGGACTAGCATCCCATCCAGGGGGAGTAGAAATACTCCTAGCTGTTTCATGCTACTGAAACTGGGAAAAGCTCCGGCAACTATGAGCTATGAGTCTTTTAACTCCAAGGCTTCACTTTTTTCTTTTTTTTTTGGAGCACTAGTTTCTCCCATCAAAGTGTCAGGGTTGCCTGACACTGATCCAAAGGCATCCATTGAAAGATAGTCATTTATGAAGAGCTGCCATGCAATTAATCCTTAATCAACATGTTGCTCTTTGGACAAATCTAAAAGACTAGCATTTGAAAAGTAGTGCCACCCCCCCCCCCCCCCCCCCCCNCTCCACAGAAATTTTCCACGTATCTCGCTTGGGCTGCTTTGTGACAAAAGTGCACTTGGTCCAGCTTGTTAAGTTTCCTGTGCAACAATAACCTTCTGTCCTACAAAAAAAGTACAGCACAAGGAAGCTCATTTGCAGACAATTCCAAAGCTGCAGCAAACTTTGTCATTCAATCATTAATTATTTGTTCATTGTTCAATGGAGAACTCTAGTATTTTCACACACAGACTAAACTTTAGTGTTAAAATATTTATAAAAAGGAGATCTAAGAATGCTGACATTTTTACCAAGATTGTGTCGCCCTGTATGCTTTGAATCAGTCATCGCATGTAAGTATCTTGAAGGTTGCAATTTACTACACACTCAAAAATAATTAATCACTTTACTTGCAAGTAAGATATATAACATTTCACATTTCACAAACCTATAAACAAGCTGACCACCATTACATTCTTTACAGGGAAGTAATCTTCCAAATGTCATTCCATCAGCACATCTGTCCAAGAGCTAACAATACAAATAGGTTATTTTTTAAATATTATTTTATTTTTTGATTATTACCATGCCTGCTTGTTAGGGGTAGTGAATGGTAAGTGCAAGACTTTGCAAGAAGGCGAGACTAGAGTTTTTCTTTGTGAGCCTGAGACGTTTTGTCTTCTTCAGTTGTGAGACCAAGACTTCAAAGTGTTTTAAATGCGAACTTGAGATGTTCAGGTTCTAAGATCCTCAGAGGTCATTTATAAAACAAAAAAATCAGTACTTCAAGACTTTCTTAGCCCACAAAAAAATCGAGACTGTGAGACAACTTTGTGCAAAAATAGAGACTGCGAGACGCACATAACTGCTAAAAAAAGGAGATGGCAAGACCCGTGAAATTTGAGGAAAAGTTCTGTTAGACCTATGGTGTTGAAGGACCATTCAAAACCCCTCTTGTTCTGGTTGCATTTTGAACTTGAAAAACACATGGTTACCACAGACAACACTTTCAAACTTCTCTGACATTTCCCTGTAAAAATAGATACAAAATGTCAGATATAGTAGTGGCCTCCTGCCTTCCCTTGCAGCCGTCCTGTCCACCCGTTTAAGACAATCAATATAATGAATAACATGGTCTTCATTCTGCTGAGTTTAGAACAAATTTACTTTCTTCGTTAAGGAAAAACATACTTAATGCATTAAGATAATGGTGGTTCAACCCAAAATGTTTCTTCCATGGCCAGCCTGTAATGGTGTTAATCAGTGGTGTTATAATTTCAATTTTCACTGACTTTTCTTCAAAATCTCCATTTCCCTGACTCAAAATAAAATGTCTGAGATCTAAATTGAACAAATATTCCATAACAGTAAAAAATTCCTATTGAAATCAGTGTTGTCTCTGATTAGTTCATGGTTTCGAATTTTCATGCCTAAGCAGGGGCGTAGCCAGGATTTTTCTAAGGGGGGGGTCACACTGGATCTGTCAAAACAAAACAAGGCTGTGAATTGGAAGGTGTACAAGCAGCAATGGGAAAACTACACCATTGTAGCACAGCTGGACAAGCAAACAGAAGAGTACAGAGTGGCACTATTTCTCTACTCGATAGGATCCGAGGCAGTCAAGACATACAATAGCTTCGATTTGAATGAAGAGAACCGGCGTAAGCTATCAGAGATAATCAAGGAACTTGACAAGTATGCGATTGGAGAAACCAGTGAGACTTATGAACGCTACATGTACGTATGTAGGAGAACTGAGAACACTTGCACAATCGTGCAATTTCTGTACTTGTTTACATGATTCGCTAATACAAGATCGAATTGTCCTTGGTATACGTGGTGCTAATACACGCAAGCGCCTATTGCATCAGACCAAATTGACATTACAAAAATGCATCGAAATTGTAAAGAGTGATGGAGTTTCAAGCACCCAGCTGAGGAACATGGACCAGACCACGAAGCCAGATGAGGTCCATGAAGTTGAATCCAGAAAGCCAAAGAAACCAGAGCACAAATATCCGAAGTAAACAGGCCGGTTTCCGAAACGTACCAACCGGAAGCCAGATAAGGAACGGATGTCGGCAAGAGATAAGCCGTGCGAGTTCTGTGGAAGAAAACATTGCAAAGGGAGAGACAACTGTTCCGCTTGGGGCCGTGTTTGTGGAGCGTGTGGCAGAAAAAACCACTTTGCGGCACAGTGTAAAGCAAAAGAAAAGGCACACAATGTCGAAGTCGAAGATGAAACAAGTGAAGAAGAAACAAGCGAAGAAGAATTCCTTTATTGTGTGACTACAAAACCACAATTGACAGGAACTGTCAACAGCGTCACGGAACGCGAAATCTACGCACAGATGCTTATCAATGAGAAGCCTGTAAAGTTCCATATTGATTGTGGCGCAACAGTAAACATATTACCAAACAAATACGTCAACAAGCAAGATATCCAGCTGACGAAACGTGTCTTGCAGATGTGGAACAAGACTGAACTCAAACCAGAAGGGACCTGTCGCATGACCTTACGTAATCCCAGAAACCGCAAGAAATACTCAGTCGAGTTCATTGTTGTGAAGGAGAATTTGACTCCATTGTTGGGCTCAAAGGTGATCCAGCAGATGGGACTTATAGAAGTGCACGAGGGGAACTTTGAAAAAGTAGCTGCAACAAAATTAGCAATTAAGAAGGCACCAACAGTACAAGAGATCATCAAGGAATACAGTGAAGTATTTGAAGGGGAACTGGGGGACGCTCGAAGGACAACAACACCTAGACGTTGACCCTACAGTGCCGCCTAACATTGCCCCTTCACGACGTGTGCCATTCACCATTCAACCAAAGCCCAAGGCTGAGCTTGAGAGACTGACAGACATTGGTGTACTGATGCCTGTTGATGAACCCACAGACTGGGTTAGCAACCTTATTGTTGCTATGAAGGAATCAGGGGATTTGAGACTTTGTCTAGACCCACAACAACTAAATAAAACACTAAAGAGAGAGAGATACCCACTCCCCATGATAGATGACGTACTTCCAGCTCTCTCACAAGCAAAAGTCTTCACCAAAATTGACGCCAGAAATGGCGACTGGCATGTGCAACTAGATGACGAGTCAAGCAAGCTGACAACCTTTGACACACCCTACGGGAGGTACAGGTGGAAATGACTTCCATTTGGAGTCAGCGTAGCTAGTGAGATATTCCAAAAGAGGCTGAACCAGGCACTTGATCGGCTTGATGGCCTGCTGACCGTGCATGACGACATGGTGATCTACGGAGTAGGAAACACAGAAGACCAGGCAACCGCTGATCACAACACGAAACTACAGCAGTTCCTACAGCGGTGCAAAGAGAAAGGGGTGAAGCTAAAAAAGAAGAAGCTTCAGCTCCTGTGCAAAGAGATCCCCTACATGGGACACCTGGTCACAGCAGATGGGCTGAAACCTGATCCAGTGAAGATTGAGGCCGTGCGCAACATGCCCAAACCTGATAACGTCAAAGCTGTGAAGCGATTTTGCAGGTTTGTGAACTACCTTGCAAAGTTCCTGCCTTGACTGGCTGAGGTATTAGGGCCCATCCAACAATTGACACGAAAGGAAATGCTATGGTAGTGACAACATGAGCATGACGCAGCATTCGAGAAGGTCAAAGAGCTTGTGACGCAGGCACCCTTGCTGAAATACTACAACCCAGAAGAAGAGCTCACTGTCCAGTGTGACGTGAGTGAAAAAGGACTTGAGGCCGCCCTCATGCAGAATGGGCAACCCATAGCATTTGCAAGCCGCGCCCTGACAGACCCAGAGACTCGATATGCACAGATAGAAAAGGAGATGCTAGCCGTAGTGTTTGCGCTTCAATCAGTACATATATGATCGCCCCGTAACTGTCCAGAGTGACCATAAACCGCTAGCAGCCATCTCCAAGAAACCACTCTGGGGTGCACCCAAGAGACTCCAAGGGATGCTGTTGAAATTGCAGAAGTATGACATGTCCATCGTCTACAAACCAGGGCTTGAGATGTACCTGGCTGACATCCTAAGCAGAGCATTTCTTCCCACAACTCAGAGTGATCAGGGAGAGTTTGAGTGTGTGAGTGCTGTCAAACTGCTGCCAATGACTGATGAGAGACTCGAGCAGCTGAGGAACAGCACCTGTGATGATGGAGTTTTGCAACAGCTAAAAGAAGTAATCCAGACTGGCTGGCCAGAGGAGAAGCAGCAGCCCCCGGCCGTACTTGCTCCTTACTTTAAGTTCAGGGATGAGACGAGCATCTACAACGGTCTTGTTTTCAAAGGCGAGCAACTCCTTATCCCCAAGCTGATGCATATGAAGATGAAAGAACGCATTCACAGTTCACACATAAGCGTGAACGGCTGCCTGAGAAGAGCCAGGGAGTGCATATACTGGCCTGGCATGACTGCAGAACTGAAGGAGTACATATCACAATGCGAGACATGCAGCAAATATGAGGCAAAACAACCGAGGGAATCCTTGAAACCCGACACAAAAGCGGGCACTGTCATCAAAAAGCTGAAGTGCCATTTTGCAAGACAAGGAATTCCAGACATTGTGATAAGTGACAATGGTCCACAGTTCGCTTGTGAGAAATTTACCAACTTTGCAAACGAATGGGGTTTTGAGCACCGACCAGGGAGTCCTGAGCACCAACAAACGAATGGCAAAGCAGAAGCAGCTGTCAAAGATGCGAAACGCCTCCTGCGTAAGGCCAAAGAAGCCAAAGGAGACATCTACCTTGCAGTGCTGGCACTGCGTAACACACCCACGGAATCAATGGGGACCAGTCCTGCCCAGCGGTTGTTAGGTCGACGTTGCAAAACACAACTCCCGGCAACCAAAGAGCTACTAATGCCGCAGTCTGTACACACTGAAGCAGTAAAGAAGAAAGTCCAGGCGAGACGAGCGCGACAAGCCAAGTACTACAACAAGGGGACCCGTGACCTCTCCCCCTTAGAAGAAGGAGCTGTGGTGAGAATGAGGCCATTTACACTTGGACAGAAAGCATGGGAAAAGGCAACGGTGACCAAAGGATATGATGAACGATCTTATGAAGTCGAGTCTGAGAAAGGAACCTACCGACGAAACAGGGTGGACCTGAGAGAACAGCCTGTCCCACAGAGGCCTCTAGAACAAACTCCCAGCCAGGAACCGGCATTGACCCAGAACAAGGACCAGACAAAGACCCTAGCTGAGACTAACAACCTACCTGATACACTTGAGACCATCCAGCAACCCCAGGAACAGCAGCCCACACCTACTGCTGTCTCACAACGTCCCAAGAGAACCCTCAAAGAGCCTGCATACCTTAAGGACTATTCACGCTAGGAAACTAGGGACTTCGAACACTTGTTTTTCAGTTACTAGAAACCGGACTTGACATTTGAAAAGCTAGACGCATTTCATGGAGGAAGGAGTACAACCAAACTTTGGAATGATCTTTCCATTACTGGCCGTAGAAATAAACAGTTGACAGTTGTCCGCAGTGCGGACAGCTCAGACAGCCAAAACAATAGCTAAAGAC